GACTTGTGACTGCTCCACATTTAGTCTTACAGTAACATGGAGGTTTCCGAAAATTAGGGGCACCTTTGAAGGAATCCATAAGGGTTCCTTAAAGGGATCTATAAGGGTTCTATAAAGGGCTTAGGGTTTGGAGTTTCCGAACATTAGGGGCACCTTATTTTGGGGTACTTATAATAAGGATCCCACCATTCAGGGTACTATATTAGGGTCCCCTATTTTCGGAAGCTCCCAGATTGAAGCAACGTTGTGCTACACTAGGGTTTATAGTAAAAGCCAGAAAGTTGGAATATGACTATCCTAAACCCTTTATGGTAAGTATAGGGTATCCTACCCTGAAACCATATTCCAACTTTCTGGAGTTCCCTTTAGAGAGACACGAAAGGCAGGGTCGATTGTCTACTCGGCCCCTGTATTGAACTCTTCGGAGAATCCGTGAGCTTCTTGCCTCTGCTATCGCCACGCCGAATAACCGCATGATTGACGGATGGGCAGTGGGCTGAAGATACAAGGCGGTGTACGATGCTAGACCCAAAGGGTCCTATGTACTGTTATGGGGAATACTTCCCCAAATCATAATAGTATTTCCTAATATAGAAACCCCCTACATTCTACTATACCGGTACTGTGGACCCTTTGGGCAAGGCGGTGATCTAGCATCCACGGGTCAGTGGCGACGAATCTGCAGATGGCCCCAAACCCTGTGGCGTCCTTGAACGCAAAAGACGCTCACCTGAGTGCTGAGAGGTTAGTTGAGCCCAGCAGTAGAGTCGGTAACGTTTAACCTTTTCTGGGTAGTGTAGCCCCCATATACTCCCTATATAACCAAACAGGTTAACCTTTAGTTCCCCATGATACCCGACAAGTACATTGGGTCAAATGTTTGGACAGCCACACAGTAACCTCTCGACCGCTGTGCCCCTGTGCCAGCTCGCGTTTCAAATTATCCCTAACCCTACAACGTAAAACCGGAACTGTAGGCCCTAGTCATCCCCCCCTACCGCTAGTGCCAGGGGCATGACATGGAGTCCTTGTATTTCTAAACTTTGCATATGAATCTTGGTAGTTTAACTTAAAATGTTTCAGGGTACATGTTCTGAACCCGCAACCGTAAACCCCGAACTCCTAAACCCTAAACCCTTCAAGGGCCAAATGCTTTGGGCTGCGGGGTTTAAGGGCCATCACCTGCAGGCGCGCTACATCGTGCGTGGAATCATGTTCTTACCTTTGGTCAGTAGGGAATGGAGGAATGGGGTACAATTATATCTACTATTACTACCAGTCTTCCATTCTCTACTAACCAAAGGTAAGTTTTGGAGTGTGCCATGTTCTGGGTTGCGTGTTTAACGTATTTACATAGGGTTGAGGGTTTGGAGTTTAAGTTTTACATACCTGTACCTACCTCTCTGTCTTTCTGGTCACAGGTAGGGTTTGGGGTTTGGGGTTAAAGGTATTTCGATTATATCCCAAGTAGATACTTAAGCCTTAAAGGGGTCCCCTATATGGGCACTTTTTCGCCTAAGTATCTACTCTATATGGGCACATGGAGCCTTAGGGTATGTGGTGGATATGTTATCTACCCAGGGCCCAGCTTCTTCTCAACTTTGTCACCTTGCACCTGGCACACTCCAAGCGAAAGAGAGCGAGTCAAGCACTTGTATCTGTATATATGTGCAAACATGTTATGCATAAACTTTAGGGGTTTAGGGTATATATATATATGAATGACCACAAAGTTGCTTGCCTTTTCTTGTGTTTGGGTGGTTTCTGCGCCCCCACTTCTACCATGATAGGTGCTAAAATCTTTGCCGTAGTCCCAGAGCTCGTGTTATATGGGTGCATGATCAGGTACGGTTTCGTGAGGCACTCGCTCGCTCAGTGCAGGTAGTGCCGTCGATCTTTGTGTGCTTTGAATAGGGAACTGATTGCACTGTCCTCCCCGCCACCAGAGATGGCCTGCAAAAAGGCCAGGACGCTTTGCTGGCAGCCTGCATTCAGAGATCTAGAGACTCCCGCCACTCTCCAAAGTAATTCCTTCTTTGACCACTGTTCCCCCACCGGCCAACTTTATGATGGGTTAGGGAAGGGCCTGAGGAAAGCCAAGAACACTGAACCCAACAACGGCGCAAAAGCCCTAAACCCTAAAGCCTAAACGCAACTAAGGGCCAGCGCTTCGGATTTCTGGAAGGGGAGTGCACTTCAACCTTAACAAAAAAAGCAACTAAACGAACGATACGCATGCTTTGATGCTAAGAGCTCCGGCATCAAGGGCACCTCAACCTCCTACCCCGAAATTCCACAGAGTCTCCAAAACCACTTAAGTGAGAATTCTGATTCAAGGTCTGTTCCCTAAGGATTTTTCCCAATCTAGGGTACATTTCTTGTGTAAGAGTTCTGCCTCATTCTGGGGATTATGGTTTATGGTATATCCCTTAGTCTGGGGTTTTTGGAGTTTATAACTTCCCGTCAGCTGAGGCCACACTGTTAGAAGTCCGCTTACCTAGCCCCAGCTTTACCGTTTACCAATTTTCGTGTCTCCTTATGGGAAAAGGATACGTATCCTATTATTAAGGGACTACTGGGGAATCTACCCCACATTTTGGGTCATTGTCCCTAAAATTAGGAATAGCCATGCCTCAGCAATCCACTGCAAAAGTACTTCGGCCTCTTCGAGTATCTCGCAGCTCGAACCGCTCTTAGGTGCTGGATGGCTACCTGCCCATGGTCGAGCCACATCTTGAGGTTCTCATCGAAAGGCCTGATCTTGAGTGCAGGTTTGGTGGTTGAGAATTTAGGGTCTGGGGGTTTAGGAGTTGGGTTCATGGTTTGAGGATGGGGGTTTTAGGATTTGAGCCCAGCCCTGCGAAGCTTTATGATGGGGGTGCTATGTATAGTCTCCATTGTAGTTTCATTTTGGGGTACCTTATGGACCCTAAATATGTGATTCGTGAAACCAAAGCTTAAAACAGGACCTACAATGGAGCCCAGCTGTACTGTTTGATTTGCTAGCTGCAGCCTGCTTCTACTCGACAGCGGACAACTGGCCTGCTTGCCTGAGCTAGTTCACTCGTTCAACCCATGAAAATTACAAATTCAGCTGCAGTGCCTAGACTTGTTGAGAGATAAATAACCCTACTGAAGAGCTTTAAGGAATGTACAGAAGGTCGTTTTTTCTTGCTGATTTGTCTTTCGTACTGTAGTATGCCATCACGAAAATGCAAAGCCAACGTGCTGCCACCAGGTTCTAGGCATAGGGGTTACTGTCCCGCAGTCACATGCGGAAAACCGCAGTCACAGTCAAGCTTTTTCCATTGCACAAGTAACTGTGCTTCCGACAACCCCAAACCCTAAACCCTAAAACGCTAAACCGTGAAGCCCTCCTTCTGAGCGACGACGCTGAAGCCCTAAAAGCCTGAAGTCCTAAACCTTTGAAGCGTCAAAATTCGAAATCCGAAAACTCGAACCCTAACTTTTGCAATTTGCAACCCGAAGTCTGGCATTCCTAAGCTCTGAAGCCCTCAATCCGATATTCCTAAATCCTAGCACTTGGACCGCCCTGGAACCTTTAAGCTTCACACCCTAAAATCCCAAACCGGTACATACCTAGAGGCTCCAAATGTAGTTCCTGCTCGGGGTTCATATATAGATTTCTATAAGGGTATCCCAAAAAGTAATATGTGGGTAGCCCCAAATTCGTTTGAAGGTTTGATGACATCGAGCCGCACCTGGAGTTCTGCTTGAAGCACGCAGACACTCTGTGTGACTGTTGAAGCCCAGAGACTCCAATATCCCTTAAGGAATATAGCTTAAAATCTAATAGGATCCCGAATATAATTTAAAGCTATACTCCTTCATTCAGGGATCTTGGAGTCTCTGTGATTGTTGAGAGTTTTTGAGGCTGTTGGATTTCTACGACTCTGGGGTTTGAGGCCTCAGGGTTTCGGGTATCGGTAGAGCTCATAGGGTGTAAATTGTAAAGGTGTAGTAGGGGGCCTCAATAAGTGGAATAAGGTTTGGTGTGTTGTGATATAGCGTAGCTATGAGAAGGAGTCCTCAGGAATAGTGAAACATTGGTGAATATTCAGGCTGTATACTCGGGTGTTGCAGAAGCCTTACAGCCTAAGTGTCACGACTAAGTTTGACATGCCTGTACCCAGGTGCATGATCGTGAAAACTGTTAGGTGGAGGCTTGAACAGTTTGGTCCTTTTTCGGTACAGCATAGAAACCGCAAGCACCTTGGCCCAGTTTGTCCAATAAGCTTGTTCCCATATGGGAGTTTCCGACAATAGGGGACCCTAATAAAGTGCCCTATAAATAGTAGGATCCTTACTATAAGAACCCCCAAAAAGGTACCCCTAATTTTCGGAAACTCCCATGTACAGTCTTCGAAGGTTTGTCCACAACTCATGGCTTTGGATCTGGAGCGGAGGGAACGATATTGAAGTCCCCGTCCCAACTATTCCTCTGAGCTTTTGCCGACCATCTACGGCACAAGTATATAGACCCTAAACCCCAAACACTACACCGGCAGGACGGGAAACAGGTTTTCAAACAAAGCAAAACTCCAAACCTTGTACTGTATAGGTAAATCGACACTTAGAGACTTGAAGCCGCTTCGAAGCAAGACGTATCGCAAAACATGTGGTGGCAAGCTGGCAAGGGGGCTTGGGGGTTTTGGATTCTGATTTGTGTTCGAAGAATTTAAGGGAGCTAATGAGTAGTGCTTTGGGATCTTGCAGGTTTAGGATTTGGGCGTGTGAAAGTTTGGTTTCAGGTACCCCGGGATCCAGTCGCTCCTTCCGGGTGCATAGGAGGAAGGATGACATGTTATGGGCGATTTTAGTTGGTATGTTAAGTTGATAATCACCGGGGCTTGGCCGGGTCTTGTAAATAGGCTTTGCTTCCAGATAGTGGCAAATAGTGGCGTTGGCAGAGCTTGCCAGCTGGATGTGTCTGCAGTGGCCCCAGGCCCAAATGTCAGGGCTGCAGATACTGTGCTGCCATGGATGCAAAGGCTGCCGTACTTCTGCGTCAAGTGCAGGACTTTAGGTCCGGCTTACCATCTGGAACGTTCCCTGGCACGACAAAGTTGAAGCCTGAGCAGGTGGACAGCCCCAAGCCCATGGAAACATCGACCAGCAAGGAGGGTGACTCGCAAAAGCCGGCGGAGCAGGGTCCGCAGGCAACAGCGAGTTACCACGGTTTCCCTATCGGAAGCTTTGTCCGTACATCCGCTTCCAAAAGCAAAGACAAGTACGACAACCAGAGAGGGGAGGTTGTCGGCGAGTTGACATGGCATGTGAAGGTGAAGCTTGTTTCGGGCCCAGCTGCCAATGAGGTCAGAAAGTATGATCCAAAGAACTTGAAATTGGAAGAGGCTGTACAGACGGAGAAACCGGGCCTCAAGCGCAAAGCCACCTCAGAGCTCAAAGACGATGCTGCTGAGAGGGCGCGTGCTTTGTTCTCAGAAGACCTTGGCGATCTGTAACGTGTGCCTGTGCTATCGGGGATGGAAAAGCACTGTTACATTGCTTTCTGTGAGAGCGTGCCTGCAGCAAGCCATCATACCTAAGCCCCAAACCCTACACCCTACCTTAAGCCCTATATAAACCCTAAACCCGAAAACCCCTACGAACGTCCAGGGTCCGCGGATGAGGGCCTAAAGCATTGGACCTTTGGGAAAAGAGGATGCAGCTTCCTATGTGTAGCTTAGGTCTTAGGTCGCCGCTATTCGCCGCTATTCGCCGCTATTCGAGTTCACCTAAGAACCCACTAAGCCCCCGGCATTTGCCACCTAAGGTATGCTTCTGTACCGATGCCCAGCTTCCCAACACGCGAAATCTCAATCATAGCCAGGAAACTACTGAGTTTGGAGTTGCTTTGAGATGCTGGCATGTTTGACCCGATAAGGACGTTGTGGTGCCACGCCTCAATGAGATTGTCGAGCATTTAGATGACATCCTCTTCTTCGCCAGGGAGCGACGCCAGGTCGATGTTCATCCTGTCAAAGCTTCAGCCCTACTTTGCTACGGCCAGCAACACAATTACTAATGTGTTCAGGCACATTTATCTTGCACATGCTGGTTGATTCCAAAACACAAGTATTCCCGCACGCTTGTTGTGACATAACAAGACTACACAAGCACGAAACACGTGCTCACGATCTGCAAGCATAGTGCTACCAGCCAAGTGGGCATGTGCAAGGTCAGCTTTTGCATGCGTCTTTTTACGTATAACCATTTCTCCTTTGCCCATATTACACCAAGGAAGTCTGTGGCAAAAGCTCGAGCCGTTGCTGCCGCAACTCGCCGCCAGATTGGCGCCGTGCCTGAATGTCAGCTGGCAACTGTCCGGTCCCGGCTCTACTCATTACACGGGCTTAGATAATGACCAATACTATTCTGGGGGTTCCTCATTATAGTTACAGTATACGATACCCCAAACCCTACTCTCAATATTAAGGCCGCTATGTTACACCCCTTTATAAACCACGTCTGGAACCTCTATAGTGTACCGGTTTAGGGTTTTGGGGGACTGTAGGGTTGGGGCTTCTAGAAGCTTCAAAGCGTAGCTCCCCCATTAAGTCGTTCTCCTCGGGAAGATCCCGGCCAAGCAGCCATGTAAGCTGAGGGTCTAAACTCTGAGCTCGAAGCCCCAATGCAATAGGTGGTAACTGTCGGTTTAGGGTTTAGGGCGCATAGCATCTCATATAGTGGCCCGTATAGTAACCCTTGCCGTGAACCCCTAATCACAAACTTGTTTGATCCTAAACCGAGAGCTGTCTGTCTTCAGGCATTGTTTTAGTAGTAGAGTAGATGACCTTTATCCTGTTGCGAAACTGTAATGCCCTATATAATCCCAATATTCTCCCAAAAGTAACCTTTAGTTTCCCAGGGTACTCGACAAGTAGGTTTCGCCCAAGGACAAGCTTGGTCCACATTTGCCTGCTGTACGAAGGCCGGCTCCTTTGCCGCCTTGAAGGTTTAGTGGATGCAGGCTCTCTTTTCTTAGGGTTTCAGGTTTAAGGTTTATACGTCGTTTCAGGGCTTATAGTGTTTCGGGGCATTCGATGTTCAAGCCGTCTTTGCATTTCGTGTTTCACAAAGTCTCTTCCGTAGAGAAGGGCCTCACAAGTCATGAGAGATCTTATATTGACTGGCTGGGTTTGGCCTGTCTCGAGATTATAGTCTCCCTAAGAAATATTTTTCGTTCTTGTTCATACAAAATCCAAGAGAATATTGGAACTATGAATTTCGATTATTGTTCTAGTAAAGGGAAAGGAGAATGCTTGAGCCTTCCCGTACAGCACATAAAAGATACAGACCGTGCAGCTATGTTTGCTTGCAGAGTCGGATGGATAGACACGTGCTTCTTGGCTTGATGCGGCGGGCTGAACGTTTCTTGACAGTTGCTCTTAGACCCTAACTCCCGAACCCTAAACCGTTTAGAGTTGAGGGTTGAGGAATGCTTCATCATGTGCCTGCCATGCTCACTGCTTCAGCCAGCTCTTTGGCAGGCATGCGGAGTATGTGACGCCCATTCTGCCGTTGCTGGCTGTGCTTCCTGTCTTGAGCAACAGTAGTTTAGGGACCCAAAAAGCACATATGCATAAGCGTGTTAAAAGGGATATGGGCTTCATTATAAGAGGGTTTATATAGGATACGGGATATCCCTAACCTCATTTTTGCTTATGTGTTTTTAAGGGGCCCTAGTGATTCCAGATCGGGCTGGCTTGAGCTTGCAGAGTACTGGTTCCGGGCAACGTAGCCTGATGACGCACGCTTTGCCGGGTCACTCACACTAAGTTCGAAGTAATCCCTTGAAGCAGCCTGCTCGCAAGTAGAACCACAAAAGGAGCCTAGAAATATCTGCCTCATCGGTCTTCTTTGCTGCCAGAACATGTTGAGCTCGCGCGCGCGTGCGTGCATTGGGGTTGTCATCGTAAATCAGGCGAGTCAAGTTCGCTGCCTCCAAAATCTAGCCAATGTACCACAAGCATGATAGCTCCCAATTTGAGGCCTACAGGGTGGCCAGGTAAACCCCAACCAGACCCTAAACCCTGAACCCTGTAAGAGCCCCTGGAAGAATCTCGGGAACCCTCAAACATACCTCCAAAAAGGCATGCCGATCGACTCATTGAGCACCGGCCGATCTCTGATCATGCGGACTGGCACTCAGATGTCCAGATGGGAGTTTTCGCAAACTAGGACCCACAGTAGGCCCTTATTCCCTTTTTTAAGGTTTAGGTTCCCTTATAAACCCCTTCAAACCAAAAAGGGCACCCTTTTTATTCCTAGGTTACTCTTAGGCCTAGCAAATTAGGGGGGTAGCTCATTTTGGGGGTTAAGGGGATTAGGGCCTTAGGGCCTTAGGGTTTCAGGGTTTTGGTTTAAGGCTTAGGGTTTAGGAGTTTCCGAAAGTTAGGGGTACCTTATAATAAGGATCCTACTTAAGAGGGTGCTATATTAGGTTCCCTATTTTCGGAATCCCCAGACGTTAGTGGCGAGGGCTGTAGGGTATAATTAAAGGATCATGGGACTTAGTCACTGGGGTTGTACATGAGGTAGCATGTCATAATCATAGTTCCAAGGTCTGATAACAAATTTAACCCGAACGTGCTTTTAGCTTATCACTTTAGTTGCCAAGTTCCCTGATCCTCCTATTCATTTTTCACACCCCTACCAAAATCAAGCAGAACTCAGCAGGACCCCATAACCTTAAAGCTGTTCCCACGGTTAGGGTATTAAGGTCTAGGGCCTGCAGGATCAGCGACCTTAGTAAGTGGTGGTAAGCGTATCTGAATTCGAGTCATACCTAGAGGCTCATACCCATACCCTAAGATTGGGGGCCCTAATAATCAACTATACTATTTAGGAGCTCCTTACTATAATTATGGTGTTATAGTACAATGGCTCCCAAAACCCGACTCTAATTGTTAAGGCCCCTATATTACCTGAATTCGGGTCATACCTAGAGGCTCATACTCCGCCCCTTTTCTTGGATACCTAGTTTTATGGTTAGGCTCTGTTGTAGGGTATGAGCCTACAGGTAAGGTATCACATTTGTAGTTACTCTACTTAGCACTACTGCAAGTCCGCTGATCCTTCGAGTAATTCCAACACCTCCCCCGCAGCTTCCTAAGGATGCTCTGGTGCGATTCTTGGGCTGGGCTTTGAAGGTGCGTCGGAAGGGGACAGGGGATCCAAGGTGGGAGCAGTGCTTGGGCATCAGGGATACGCACTTAAAATAGTGGAATAGTGTCCTCTTACAGTGCTCCTTGCAGCATTTTGTGTGCAATATACCTCCAAACCCTGCCCTCATCGGGGAAATGCACATACATTAATCCGAAAGGGTTTGGGGAATGGTTGGGAAACTCGAAGGAAGTGTTGGTGGAGTTGGTGGGGCCTGTGAAGGGTCCGGGCAGGGTTATCGATTGAGGGTTTCGGGTTTTAGGTTTCGGTGCTTTTCACGAGGCAGCGATAGGTTCCTCACAGCTTGTGATGCAGTGCCGCAGTGGAAAATGTTCTGCCAGTACCCGGCACCCGGAATTCGCCCCATAAGACCGAGATGCCTAATGTTCTTTGTTAGGATGTCTCTATATGCAAGATTCCTAATTGGGATAGCTTTAACTTTGTTGCTGCACATACAGCCTGTCCCAAGCTCGAGAGCCGTGACTGTCGCGCTTCCACTCCTGGGTTCCTAAGCCCTATATCCCCAAACCATGCACCCTAAACCTTGCCCTACGTCCTAAGTCTCGGACGTATAGTAGGTCAGATGGAAAAACGTTCCGAACAAATGCTTTTAAGCCATATAGACTATAAGCCCGCACAACCGTATTGCCAGGTTCCTGGCTTTCATTATGTCCTGGACCTGCCGGGCGTTGGCCGGGTGATCTGCTCAGGGGCACCCACGGGAGAGTGCAGCCGGTCACAGTCTAAGAGGGTCCATATACACTACTATTACTTGGCATTCTTCTGGTTGGCTCTTTAGACTTTAACTTTTCGGGTTTCTATATGAATTATAAGAAGGAGGCTAAAAGCTTAACTTTTAGGAGGGGTTCAGAAGTCAGCCAAGATGATGGAATTAGGTCCCCAAAGCCATAATGGGGATGTTTTTTTGGGACCTAATTCCAGAATGGTAATGTACATGGACCCTCTGGGAGTATTCAAAACTCCTTGGCCATGTTGTTTAGGCCCGTACTTGATTTTCGGACAAGACTAGGACCCTATGTTGCTCAAGCCCAACATAGAACAGCATACAGCCGTAGGGGCTAGCACAGATCACCAGAGCTATTCCTTTGGCATGATATATCCGAAAGCCTTTTTATTCAACTAGTTCAGGCCCCTCCCTAAACCCCAACCGCAGACCCACACCCCTTTAAACCCCGAAACCCTGTATAACCCTAATCTGTAAAACCTAAACCTTAAACCCCGAAACCCTAAACCCTAAACCCTGCGTAAACCCTAAAGCCCAAAACCCCTAAACCCT